GCAAACTTTTAACAATGATAAATGACATCAAATGCTTTGTTCACAATACTTACATTGTACCAGAAGTACTGGATAATGTAATAATGCAATGCAAAAATAGAATGAGGAAATTATGAACAAGGTTAAGAGAGTGAGTGTAAGGTGAGTTGTTTTAGTTAGTGCTTTACAATTAACTATACATGATCATTGGACTTGCCTGCGTGGTGAGTTTTTTATATTAAGTCTGTCTATGATCATTATATTTGTAATTCAATTTAATATTATTTTAAAAATCACTTCAAAGTACAATTTAAATTATTTTAAAAAATTGTCACCCATTTTAAGGTAAAATTTACCAAATATAAAATTAAATATAAATAATAACTAGAGACATGAATTAAAATAAAATGAAGTAGAGTTGAATGTACAAAGGAAGGGAAACAAGACTCAGTAGGGTTACACAGTTCACACCATACAATGTAAGTGCCAATGCTACCAAAATCTCAACCTTACATTGGAGCTTTTTATTTACGAGATTGTTTTTCATAATATTTGGCACAAAAGCCATAATTTAGACTTTTTCTGACAATATATGTTAACTGAGTAAAAAGTTGGAAGGGGTTTTGGTCAGAATTGACCATTTTGCCAATAAAAATTCTCCATTTTAGAATTTTTTGATAAATATACAGTTCTTATTTTACTTACTTGAGATTTATAGCAAGTTGGACTTGATTTTTTATCAATTCTAATTTTTTTCAATTGAACATCATTAATTGTCAGCTAATAAAGCATGCTGTTTAGTTCATTGTGATTATTTTAGGTGTGTCAGTGGATCATTCCAATGATACTTCTATGCTTTATTATCTCAAGTGAAGGAGTATTCAGGATTTGAACTGTACATTCATTACTACTATAGAAAAATAATTTAATGCACCATTATTACCTATTGATAATAATGCATCTTGGGGAAATATATGCACCTTTGTATACTACTTTATATATAGTCATTTTCTTTTTTATAAAGTAATGTTGAGTACTGCTGTAGGCTGTGTGTTAGTAGTAAGTGATTGAAGGTTTCATTTCTTATCATCCTTTATGAGCTGAAAAGTAATGGCTTTGGTCCATTGGAGTGACTTTTAATAATCAGCTTTGCTCAAGGCTCATAACATATAGTAAAACTATCAGAAGAATTATATAATCAAGAATTTTCTCCTAATCATAAATCTTTAGCAAAATTTTGCCAACAATTATGGCCCAATTTTGAATAACTTTAAAACACTTAAAAAATCTAATTTGATCCGAATCAGGTATAAATTTCAATTTAATTACATGTAAAATGTATCAGAAAAAGTTTAAAAAATTGAGAAATCCTCTTAACTGTGGTGAAATTCGGCCTGAGATTGTATGAAGTATGTTGGAATAATTTCATTATAAATCAATAGAATTATCAATGCAAACAAAATTTGATCAATCAATAGAATAAGAGCAATGCTAAAATCATGAATTGGAGAGTATGCTACCATCATTGCTGGTTACTCAATTGTGAAACTCATGCCTATATGCTGTTATCAGCTTGCATTGGAACTGAATCTAGAATAAAATTAACTGAGTCTAGAATGAAAACAGTTAGATCTTCTTGCCTAGTTACAACT